CGCCCTTGGGACCAACAGTTAGCGTAATGGCTATGTCGTTGGACTCCCATGTAGTTGACCGCGGTTCACATCCTGGACCCGGTAGCTTAAAACTCACACCTGGTGCATGTATGTGTGCCCAAGATCCTGAGAGGAGAATGGAGAAGAGATTGCGGCATGGCCATCCCCCCTGGGGGGTGATTTCTCCCTTTCTGTCTCCCTCTCTCTTTCTGGCGAGCGCATGCGCCCTATAGCAAAAACCTCTCCTAAAACAAAAAAAGAAAGAAATCATCTTTGCAGGGGGGATGACAACGCTGCAATCCCTTCTGCTCCATTCTCCTCTGGAGATTTTGGGCATACACACACACACACACACACACACACACACACAAACACACATGATGTGTCTGGTGTGATTTTCAAGCAGCCAGGTCCGAGACTCACATCCAGAAGTCGGCCACAGAGGATCAAACACCTTAACTTCCATGCCACCTGCAGGCCTGTAATACTAACTTTATTCATTAAGTACTGTTTTTTTTTCATGCTTTAACTTAAACTCCTAAGAACATGCAAGCTAGCTTAACCAGCTATCCTCATAAATTTACAGTTACTCAAAACAAGAGAATATATTAAGAAGTATTTCAAATGATCATCTACTGCAACCTCACAACCAAGGAAACAAATGGAATCAGTTTTTCCTGCCAACTACAAATAGCTTTGGTTTTGAAACTGTTTTTAGGTGGAACATCCTAAATTTAGGTCAGTTTTAACACTGAACACTCACAGAAGAGGAGACAACCTGACATAGCAGCAAATCACAGAACAGGAAATATTTGTTTCTTTTTTTTTTTTTAAACGCTTTCCATTGATTTTTTTTTGAGAGGTTTTTGCTATAGGGTGCGTGTGCTCGCCAGAAAGATAGAGACAGAGAGACAGAAAGGGAGAAATCACCCCCCAGGGGGATGGCCACATCCGCAACCCCTTCTCCTCTCGGGATGTTGGGCACGCACGCACACGCGCCCGGCATGAGTTTTAAGCCACCGGGTCCGAGACTCGAACCGTGGTCAACTACGTGGGAGTCCAACAACATAGCCATTTCGCTAACTGCTGGTCCCTCCACTGAAACTCCCTACTTGTGTTTTCGGTTCAAAAAGCCCTAAATCTGAATTAGATCACTTATTACATTCACAACTCTTACCATAGGTAAAGGGTCATGTATTCAACCAGAATGCAAAAATCTAACCACTCTGTCAAGTGACTCCCCATACAGGTCTCTAAAACTAGCAAGGGTATCATGAAGTATTGTTTCATGAGTATTATTACAGTATCTATCACTAACCTGGTTAAGTTTCTGCCAGTTTCTTTTTTTTTTTTTCTCCTATTTATCACCTTCTATGAGTAAATATTGTTTAATGAGTTCTTTCTTGGCACTTGCCCGAAGGGGGAATGGCCACCTTTGTCAGGCCCATCCACCTTTACCTTCATTGGCCTTTTCATCTCCCCAAACTACCTACATGCCCCTGCCCCGTGCCTTTTCCCCCTAACCCATATACGAACTTGGCCTTCTCGATTTCTGCATGTTCATCCCCTCGCAATGCACCTTTCTATGTTTATCTCAAATCCCTGCCTCTACGTTTACCCGTGGCGTGCGACTCCTCTCACCCTATGACTTCATGTCGGTCAGGACATACAAACCTCTGAAGGGCGCACTCGGTACTCAGAGGCACAGGCTCGATGACCATCGCATTCAACTGTGCAGTCCTATCTGCAAACACGCCTTCCAAAACGAGCTCCGCTCCGCCGCCCCGATAACGATCTGCTAACTATCTCAACCACTCCCCCCGCAGTTTTTTCTCCAGCTGCCGATTTCCAACTTTACGCTCCACTTTTGCTTCTTACTTCGGCCGACAAAACTTCGGGGCGTTCACTGAGCTCGGTCTGCATTCTCTGCAAACTCCCAGCCCGCCCGCGCCTTCCCGCCCTCCCCGCAGAGGCCGCCGCAGCTCAGGCTCCGGCCCCTCGCGCCCCCGCACCGCTTTCCCCCGCC